ACTGATTTACATATGAACTGCTGATATCAAGAATTTTAGACCTTCTACTTTCCCTTAATTTGAAACTACCACACAAAAATGGAAGCTGCTATTCTGCCATTTGTCACACTGTTGATAAATTTAATGTTTTGCAGAAGTGGCAAAATCATATTAAGCTATTATTTTACTTTTATCTTTTTTAGCTGTTTAAAAGAAGACTTGATAGCCACATCAAAAAGCCTGGTGCTAGAGAACTGAATAGGAGAATTTTGGAATTTACTCCACTGGAGCAGCATCTCAAATTTGAATTCATCAGCTAACAGAGCCAGTAAACTAATTAATCTTTCATTGTTGTTGTTCCCTGCTCTCACTCAACAATGACCACGGATCTGGCACGAGAGATACAGCAGGCATATATAGGCGGGGTGGTGAACAGGGCAGAGACGCTGTTTTGCAGCTGCAGGTGACTTCAGAGTGCCTTAACATTTATCTGTGCTACTGCACACTGGAGCAAGTGTTCAAGGCTAAAGCAGGAGGTAGATAAACACCACAAAGAGTGAACCCTTGTCTTCATTGTGCATTAATAAATACAGAGTAACTCAACCAACTGGCTGAATCGTTTTGGTTTATGCTGAAATTGCTGAGCACAGTTTAACCCTTTTGAGACTAAGAGTTTAAAATTTAGTTGCCTTCAATTACCCATCTGATTTTCAAAGAGCATTCAGCAGTCCCATCAAGGGGACTTGGCACTTTGGAAATAGTAACTGAAGTACATACATACAGCGATGGAAGTTTTAGTAGAGAGATGAATGGATAAGTGAAACCTGGAGAAATACAAGGATGAAACATGCAAACATTTTAGTGGATGTTTGCATGGAACCTGGAGAAAAAGGTATCAGTAAAACATGCAGAAATTTTAGTAGCTCTCTGAATGGCTGGATGGGACCTAAAAAAAGGAATGAGCAAATTGATATTAAAATTCAATTATTATTTCGGCAATTGGGAATGCAATTATAACAATGTTCAACATGTACGATAATGCTAAAATTAAAAACAAAGGCGGAAGAATGTAAATTAAATGAGTATGAAATAACGTAGTAAATTTGGTGGTATTTCTGCTGAGTCACATTTTTCTCTGAAAATAAAATGGATGATCATATATATCCTGATTTGTTTACTAAATTACTTCAGATATTTTTGAAACTAGAAATGCTATAAAAGATTAATGTGCACAAGAAAATTTTATTTTTGCTGCTCTGACCTACAGATTTACAGCGAAATAACCATAAGGTAACAAAGAATTTATCACACCATCCTTCATTTCTTGACCTTACCATGAACATAAAGGGACATAAATATGTAATTTCACACAGACAATAACTACTAAAAAGAAATAGAACACTAAAACAGACACACAGATAAGTATACTTTATCTTCCTAACTTCTGCTGTTAACTTTGTCTTAGAAATGAGGTGAAAATTATGGACTATGGGGTTTACGTGGACTACCAAGCTTTCTTTCCTAGATGCCAGGTTCCAGCACAGCCTGACTGTGCTGCAGAGAGGGGCTGTCCCAGGTTCCTATGGTGTGCTGTTTCTTATAAATTATCACCAAAGAGGTCACAACTGCTAACACACAGGTTTTGTAGAATTGCTGTGGAATTTAGTTACGAAATCTTTCCCATCTCATTCCCGCTCAGGGAAGTACCCAAATCTGTTGCTTCTGAAGCTACAGAAACAGTTTTATTAATAGCTTATACAAAAGCTAACCTCCAGCAGGTTCTGTCCTCATTTCCTTGTTGAACCACTCATTTTCTAGTGTAAATGATTTTAGACAGATTGGAAAAATGGAACCTTTTCCCGTTTTGTGAATTATGCTCACCATCATAAAGATTTTCTTCTGGCAGACAAACGTGAAGGAATCACTCTAAGAAAATATACTTTCCCTTACTTGGTGATACTCTGCAACAAAATAGGAGCCAATAGGAACAATTGCCTTATACCTAATTAAAAAAAAAATTACTACTGAGTGTCTGGCAATGACATCTACATTGCTTTGCAGAGGTGACAGTTTCACTGGGGCATGGCAGAAGGTCATTCTTTTTACATATTGGTATTCAGACTTTCACTGGAATTCTTACTGAGGCGGCTGCTGCCACCATGGACTGAAACTGGAAACACTTCCCATACTAGGATCTCAAACAATTTTTTTGATAGCAAAATCCTGCTGGACAGGGTAAGCAACAAGAAAGCATTTTTCCCCTTAGGAAATACCTGTGTTCTTCACTAAATTCAAAACAGAAACATAATAATGTATAAAAAGATAATAGAAGTATTTGATAAGATACCTACCATGCTTTCTTTTTTATTCAGTAAAATGTAGACTTGTAAGCAGTGGGGAAAACACCATTCATGTTCAGTTCGGGAACAAATATTTCTCTCATATCAAAATTAAAGCAAGCAGAACTAATTGCTGGAATATCTTGAGGCAAGACTTTAATCTTTTTTCCTATCACTAGGCATGCAAATTATTCCTGAATTGTGTTTCCATTACCAAGATGACAGATTCGATTACTCACATGAAATTTTGTGTGTCAAAATAATTGCTCAATGTAAAGATAGCCAGCAAAATAACATGCACCGAGTCCTGGTTCAGCATTTTTATTTTCAAAAGGGTACTTGAATCACACAATCTCAGTGTTTATATTTTGACTTTGCTGAGAAAAATAGCCATGCACATCTTTGCCAAATAAATCTGCAAGTATCAAGTATGCATCCAGTCTGTCTAAAAGGCAAGATTTTGTCTGAAGAGACTAAAAGCCAGAATACATTTCCAAGTAAGCCATTTCTTGATTTGCCACGAAAAAGCATAACCGTGCCAAATGAAAAGCAAGCATTGCATCAGTTGTAAGTATATTTTGGTCTGGTTTAGCCTTTTATCAGAATGAAGAAAAAAAAAAGATTATTCATTTCAAAATAAGCTGATGAGCTGTTTGAATTCTACCTTGGCAGGGAGTACAAAAAAGGCAGAATTTGGCCCAGTTCCCTCAAAATGTATCTTCGTAACCGGAAGAATTACCAACAGAGCTGGAGTCTAATCTCAGCGGCACAAAAATATATATATGAAAAATGGAGGTGATTTTGACATTCATTGCTAGTGGAACAGTTATGTGTTTGTTCATAGCAGACAGTTCTCAAAGACATTTTTCAGAACTTGTAATGAGCTCAACTGCTGAGCTCCCAATGAGGACAGAAAGACGAATGTGTGATTTCCTTTTTCAGATGAAAAAATCTGTTGGACTTTGCTGAAAGGTAAAACATGCAATACCAAGTTTCTGTGGTAGAATAGAAACAGCTGAGAATGACAGTAGGAGATTGTCCGCTTTATTTAAAAGCTACCAATGTGCATAGTATCTAAGTTTTAGCAAGCTTCGTCAGTGTCAACATCCAGGCTCACTTAAACATGGCTTTCTGCTCATGCAAATCACTTGAAATTTGATCTATTAATCAAACAGTCTATATAAATACTGTTGCTAAAGTGTCAGTCTTGTTTGCAGAATTTTTGAAGATACTCATAAGTATTATAATTTTCTTGTGCTGGATAAGTCATGCAGAAAAAGGATCCAGGAAGCTTCACATCACACTTCTGAAATTTGGCACCAAAATTCTGAATTAAAGCTCAAGCAATCCAGCATCAGAACAGCATCAGGAATGTTCTCTTTACTGCCCATTTTTAAAATATGATTTCACACTCACCTTTACCCTTTCCAGTTCCACCCTCCTGCGGTGTTTTTTGTTCTGTGTAGGAAGTACAAGTATATTTTTGAAAGGATCTTAAAGTAAAAAGAAAAACTTACACAGCATTAAAAAATACAGCAATATTCTAGGTATTGCTAGTATTGAAAAACCAAAATTAAAAAATTATTGATATACATGTGTATGTAATACACAGTTGTAATCCCATAAAGCATTTTGCAACTCTGTGCATATCAATGCATTTTCTGTCTTGAACGAGTCATATAAGATTGATGTTCCTGTACTCAGAGGAAGAAAATACTCGGTTTTTTAGAAGTAGCAATTGTTAGACTCTTGTTCTTGGGCTTATTTACAGAAGACTTTGAAATGAGTTACATATCATTGTTAATTTGAATGGAATTGGATCAGACATGAGATACTGTCAAATATTAATGGTATCCAGAGCTCCATCACCCTAATCAGTTTATCCATAAGACAAAGTACACCACAGAAAAAGTGTATTGAGGGTGTTCTTAATTCTTTATCATCATCTTCATCATTATTATAATAATCTTTCCTAGGGTATTTGTTTTTAGTTTTCTTGATCAGAAGAGTTGCCAGCTTGCCCTCTACTCCAAGCAGGTGAATATGAATTATCTTTGACCTCATATGTATGAGAAAACTTGGACTGTATTTTCAACAAAATAAAAATTTCTATGCTTTCTCTGTTTCGGGATTTGATAGGATTCCTATTCTCTTTGGTTTCCTATCTTATTCAATTTGCATACAAGGCCATTTAGAGACTTGACAAATCATATGAATTGTGTTGTCTTCGAGGTGTAAACACTCAATATTCTATTGCCTGTGAACAATGATTTTCTGTGGCAAACTTACCTGTCAACTGCCTGATAGAACATGGGTTTGGATGAAGGTCAATGGACTAACATTGTCAAGATGGAGCTAAGATAACTTTTGTGCCATGGAGGAAACATCTGCAAGAGCCAGCTGATATTATGATTATCCTGATTTCTTGTTCACATGTGCATAGCCATGGTAACTATGAAAAAAACCCTTGAAATTTGGAAGACAAGTCCATATTTTGGAAGCATGACAGACTCCCAGATGCTTCTGTCTGGATTCCCTAAATTTCCAAGCTCCAGTTGTCCGTCTTGGCCAGATGGTCAAACCTGTTCCTTTTTAATGGGAATTTTGCTACAGTAACACTGTAACTTTCCCACTAGGAACTGGGATTAGGAGAATTCACTCTTCTTGGCAGGTGGAAGCATGTCTAAAACCCATTTGAAAACCTCATCAGGGCTAAGTATACCAACCTGGTGGCTTGACATTGAGATTTAGAAGGAGCTCTTAAAATGGCTTCCCAAAAATTTCCTGGTGTAGTTCAAGATGCTGATTATGTCCAGTAAACTATTTATATGTTATAGCATTTGAATTCTTGAACAACCAACTTCCCTCTTTGTGTGATAGTACTTGGTAATTCAATATGACAGCATCTTGAGTCATGCAGAAGGAAGCTAGGAGAAGAGACTGGCACTTCCAGCTTAGAAATATCCCAGTTTGGTCTGTGCCTAACCATAAAGGCCTACTGACAACGTACTTGTTTTACAGTAGTACAGGTATGGAGAAAAGGAAGGGGGTTATAGGAGTGATTTTGTATTTAATCCTGTGTATTTAAATAGAAAGGAAGAAGATGTTATTTATGTGAAAATGTTAATAGATGTTTTTAATATAATGTTTCAAAGATGCTATTCCTTTCCGTCTACAAAAAGCAGTTTCTCATTTCAGTTCTACTTAAAAGTTAAGATTGATGAAGAACATGAATTCAAGTACAAAGTATATCAGATAAAAACCTCAGTGTGATTATTTTGAAATTAATTACTTTAATATCAACTGTACAGATTTTATGGTTGAGTAAAATATGACCATCATGAATGAAATATCAATTAACTTTCCTTATAAATATGTGCAATATAAAAGAGTTCATCCTAACATAAAAATAATACATGGGTTATTTAAACATGAAACTCCTTGTGGCAAATGATACTACTACCTCCAGACTGCAATTTTTTAATGGAAGAGTGTATCATTTAAGCAAAAATGTCTTGAATCAGCCTCGTAAAATGCCAGTTTGCAAGACTGTAAGTAAATGCAGGTTTAATATCTGGAGAGTATTTATTCTGTTTGGTATTGATGTTTAGGTAGGTATACAGAGAATAAAACTCACCAAATGGTTAAATTAGACATGCATAATGTATATATGTATTAATCAGCATCTGAGAATATAACTCAAGTTACTCAATGCAAATCAAACCCACAAGGCAAAAGCTTGCCTACTTTTCCAGCTCCCACTAGAGAAAATGTAGCACCCTTGCACAGAGCTTCAGCTTTACCTAAAGCCCTAGCCCTTATGAATGAGTTTCACCTCACCTAACCTTGGCTTCCTGGAAGTTATTCACCCACTCCGATCTAGACAACCAGACTCCTCAGGGCAATTGCCTATACACAGACATCCAGTGACATTTTAGGTAGGTTACCCAGGAAATGCCCATTGGATGAGCATGTATGACCCAGGATCTGCTCCATTGGTTATAGGTGGAGAACTGTGGAACAGCTTAGACAAGATACCTAATCTTCAGATGGATAAAATTAGGTGAATGAATCCTATGCTTGATTCTGTCAACTTTACTCACGGTGTGCCTTCGAGGAGAAATGAAAGGGAATATTTTGGTAACCAGATGCTCTTCAGCATCGAAGAAGACAGCATAATTTACCCACAGAATTTAAGCAGTCATCTTTTTCCTGTATCCTGAAGGATATTTGCATCATCACGCAAACAACAAGTCTCTTGCAAACAAAAATTGAGTGTGAAAAATCAACATTCAGGCAAAGTGAAGTGAGAATATCTTATTTGGGCAGGCTTTCTTACTTTTCTTGCCGTCCTCTCACTTTCAAAAGGACAATGAACACAAATCATATTATGGCTATGCAGTATCTAGTCTCATGCAACCGTTGTTAGTGTTACAGTGCAAATTAGCATTTTTTACACTAACCTGGAGGTGGTGGTGCACTTTCAGTTTCAGTCTCTGAAAAATGAGGAAAGAAGACAGATATTGAGCTTCAAGTAAAAGCAAATATTTTTTACACATTTGGTATATGCTTGTTGAATTTGGACACAGTTTGGGTTCATTTAATATTTTAATGCAGTTCTCAATTTTTTTTTTGCTTTCACACATGCAACCCATGGCATCTTCAGAGTGACATGGTCAAAGGCCTAAAGCTTATGCTCTGTGAAGAGAGGGTACAGGACTTGTTCAGTCTGGAGAGATAAAATACTCATAGAATCATAGAATAATTTAGGTTGGAAAAGACCTTTAAGATCATCGAGTCCAACTGTTAACCTAAGACTGCCAAGTCCACCATTAAACCACATGCCTAAGCACCACATCTACACGTCTTTTAAATACCTCCAGGGATGGTGACTCAACGACTTCCCTGGGCAGCCTGTTCCAAGGCTTGACAACCCTTTCAGTGAAGAAATTTTTCCTAATATCCAATCTAAACCTCCCCTGGTGCAACTTGAGGCCATTTTCTCTTGTCCTACCACTTGTTACTTGGGAGAAGAGACTGACACGCACCTCACTACAACCTCCTTTCAGGTAGTTGTAGAGAGCGGTAAGGTGTCTCCCTGACATGCAGGTCATCTACCTGCACGTATTCATATTAATTTATATAGGTGGCCCTAGTACATTTTGGGACCTTTTGGCAATTCCAGTATAGGACAGTTCTGGAATATCATGGTATCCAAGTTGAATTTCAAGTTTGGGTTTGATTTGTTTAAGTCAATTGGTCTTGAACCTATGCTTAAATGTATAACTTACCACATTGATATGCTTCTGTCAGATGATATCCTATGTTTAAGCAAACTTTCCATCAACTGGAATAATACCTGATATGACTTTAATCGTGAACTGTAATGGATCCATTAACTGAGGAGGATCATGCACAGAGAATCCAGAGACCTTTATCTCATTTTCACCACACCATTAGATCTAGAGTTCAGTGTTCAGTGCAAGCAGAAAGTGAAAAAATCAGCTTAGCTGCTCTGCATAGGACCTACAGTATGTTTGGTTTTTCTTTCTTTCAGTCATGGTTTTTAATCTAAATCACTTCCCTTTCAGATGTGTGATACAGAAACCAGGCTTTTAATCCTATTTAAATGTTATCCTTTTGGGCTGACGTGTTCTCCAATCTAAAAATATAAGAACAAATTAACTACATAAAATTTATTTTTAAAACATTAAAGAAAACTTATTTTCAACCTGTAAAAGCCTTAGAACTCTAGACTTGTTGAAAATAGTAATATTTATTGGAGGCAGTGCATTGACTTATAGTTCAACTACTTGCAACAAGCAAAGATTTAAAAGGTTGAAATCCTTAACTGCAACAGTAGATGGCTCTTACTAACCTTTGTCATGCTATGGGTATTAACCTTTGGGACCCCACCTCAGGTCATATTCAGGAAATAAAGTTTCAATTTCTGTCACACAGAAATGCTGGTAAGGCTATTCCTTTGCAGTCAGGTCTAAATATAACTAAAACATACTTCTCATTCTTAATAAATCCATTTAATGTTTAAAAGGGAGGAATACTTTTAGTACAAATATAATTTTAAGCTGAGTGTGTGAATTTGATATGGTTTAGGAACTTCCAGCCACATATGCGGATGCTATAGCAAATCCTTGTAGAGGGTCCAAAGAGACTCCCTCGCTACAGACAGTGCTGTACTTTCTGGTCACAGCACCCATCATATGGAATAAAAGCGAGAATGTATATTAAAGGCCAACAGGCACAGAGTCTGATAATAATAAAACAGCTTTACTTAGGTTCATAGCAACTTATTTTTTCTGGTGTAATTACTAACATACTAAGTTTTGCTTTGTAGCCTAGGAAAATATGAAAATATGAAAATTCCACCATAAAAAGTATGTCTTGGAACATATCCCCTTTACTACCATGACACTTCTCACTGCATCCACTGAGAATAAAATAACATCTCTGTGGCATGGAAGTCTATTTCTTGCATGGAAAAATAATAGCAGAAAATTGTTGACTGTATACTCTTTTTGAAATTTAATAGCTAGAAACAGGGAGTATTCTTATGAACACTGAATTAGAAAATTCTCCCTGGCTCACCAGCAAAAGCCACAAATTTATAAACAAAAGCTCACCAAATTAAACACTTTCCAGGCTCAGATGAAAGTCCCCTTTTGAGGGACTTGCCTTGAGTTTTCCTTTTATTTTGAAAGGTATTTCATGGCTTCATCACACAGTAATGCTGGTCTGAAATCACACATCTTTCCAGTCCTGTCTTACCAGCAGTAGCCACAGATGTTAGCCAAAATCTACAGCACACAGCAGACCTGAAACACTGTTATTATAGTCGAAACTTCATCTCATACATGCAGACATACAAGGAGATATTAAAAACCTGAGCAATGTCATGGGCAACCTACTGTAGTTGACCCTATTCCTAGCAGGGAGGTTGGACTAGACAGTCTCCAGAGGTCCTTTCCAACCTCAGCTATTCTGCAGTTTTGTGATGCGATGATGACTGAAGCTGGACCAAGAAGTCAGTGATTACTTTCCTAAACCGTAATGCAAGGCTATTTGGGCCGTTGCTAGGAAAACTGAGGCAAGAACTGAGCTCGGGGAGAGACCTGAAGTATGGTGAGGGAGGAAAAAAGGAAGGGGGAGAGTTCCAGGCATGGGGAGGTGGCAGAGAAATGGGAGATACTTCAACATAATCTTTTGGCCATGTGTGACCCCTTTCATGGTCATGCTTGGCTTACAGTTCCATTCCTGAGGACAGCCAGGAAAAAACCCATTAATAGCACCAAGTAGTTTCCACCTCCCCAAAGAATGATAGCCCTCTCTGGCTGACCTCTGCAACAGGCTTGTCAGCCAGGAAAGGGCTCTGTCCACTCAACCAGCAGCTTATGGTTTTGCTCCTTCCCTAGGAGGCATGCTCACTGGAGTCCCCAGATGCCATTCCCAACAGCCCGATTGCCTAATATGGTGCTCTGTCGAGGCATTGTCAGGGGGGCTGATGGTGGAGAAAGTGATGCCTCCAGCATGCACTCCTCAGCCCCTTGGGAGAAGAAGTGTTCTTCACTGGGTTGTAATGGTTCTTCTTGAGCTACAGGGGAAAGAGGCTGTTGAATGTTCAATTACCGCTGGATTGATACCATAATGTCAACTAGGCCTTCTACTAAGCAACTAAAGTTAACTTCTGCCTCACAGTTTCTAAGACAAAAGGTAATGGTCTCTTCTTTGCAGTTCTTTATTCAAGAAGCCAAGAATATTGCATTTCAGTAGGTTGTGTCATGCTAAACACAGACCTTAGGTTATTCATTGGTTGTGAAACTTATAAAGCAGCTGGCTATATATAATTCTACAGCAAGAAAAGGAATTAACTTAGCAGTCCTTTCTACATGGCTGCTCAGAAAGGATAGTATGTTAAGAAGTGTGGTTAGCAAATAAGGTGAAAGTACAACTGTCACTTAGATAACATCTCCAGAAATGCTTTCATGCCTCAGCCATGTCATGAGATGCATTCAGGATCCAGTTTGACATAGGATATGAGCACTTAGAGCCAAGACATTTTTATTTGTGATTTATAATTATACATGCACACATATACTCTTGAAAATCAGCAGGAGATGCAACTTGACCCATCACCAACAATTTTCCATCACTGTTCCAAATTTACTATGTTCAGTTTTTCAGATAAAATAAGACTTAAAATCTCTTGCTATGCATATAGATAACTAAGCTTTAAAAAGTTCCATGAGATTACCCGTGTGCTAAAGTTATGGAAATGCTTAAGAACCATGTTAAATTGGGACTATCATTATCTAAAATTTCAATTCCATTTTAGGTCTGGCTGCACTGACATCCGACCTGCAATAACCACAAGAAACTTTGGCAGGGAACTGGCAGGGTGCTTATGTGTGGTGGACAGTTTTCAAGGGCTCTAAATTCCCACTTCCACTGGTGTCTGTGACAGCAACAAGCATAGAAACTCCCTGACATCATATATATTACTTTCCACATTGGAGTGTAAACATAACGAGGCATACTGACAATTCTAAAACAGTCTCCAGGTCCTACTCTACTACTATGCTGGGAGCAAAGTATTCTGGAGACTTGCAGTTCAGACCACTCGAGAGCTACAGGTTATCACCAGGCATGCTGGGAAAGAGATCTGTCTGGATAACCCTTCTCATCTTGCGACTCTGTACTCATGACCAGGTTTGTTTTGGGTGGGCTTAGGAACTCTCAATGATATTGGAAAATGAGTAGTGGTTTTTTTTTTCCCCCCTTAGGTGAAGGAAATGACCTTGAGCATTAAATCAGGGCTAGCACGAAGTCTAAAGATAGCATTTCACCATCACCGGGCTGGAACATTCACAAGAGGGAGGAGGAAAGTCTCCTGCATTAATTTCTCCTTGCAGTTAGATATAGATTGGTTACAACCCAGCAAAGACTCTGGTCTGAACACCAAGGGATTCAGGATCTCACCCAGTCTGACCAGAGGGCTTACTCCCGTTTACCTGAAAGGGAAACCAGGACTATAGCTGCATCATCATGGATACAGGTATGATATCTGTCTGTGTAACGGCAGCATATTAAAGTGACTTTCATATGTCAAAGAGCACGAGGATGGTCACTTAATGCTTTTTGTCACAAAGACCTGTCAACTTGTGTCAAATTTAAGTAGGTGGATTAAGCTTGTGGACATAGCCTCAAGGGATCAGTCAAATATAACTATTACGTAGGCATTCCTAAAGTGCTGACTCTGCTAGTCAGGCAAAAATAGACAAAATGCTAGTTTGGGGAGAGAGCATGGTTCACCCCAGCCCTTGTGCAGTTGTTGTGTGTAAAGATTGTCCCCTGTGCGTGGCCCCTATAAGACACGAGAACTGCCGTTGTGGCACATGGCTTTCTCCTGGGGTAGATGCTCCACTGAAATAGGTGGGCAGGGGAGGCCATTGCTTGACAGACGTCATATCCAGATCATCAG